GCATACCGTGCTCTATAAAGGTTGCGCTCAATGGAGGTTATTACTGTCGACGGCCGCGATAGTAATGACGTACCAGAGTCGATAAACGTCTAACCAAACATTTCGCTGGACGAAATGAGTGGTTGATGGTAAACTTATCCTGATAAATTCCCCAAAATAATCAACATTACTGTTTATATTAATGACCCTCACGTCATAGCAATTTCAACATTTTAATGAGCTAAATTATCTTACATAATGGTGGAGAATACATGAAATTAACCTAAACAGCTAATTTTCCCTACAAATGTCAGGTCTGGAAGTATTTGGACAATGACAGAGTTTTTGTGATATTACCTTTATACACCACCACAATGGATTTGAAATAAAACAAACAAGATGTGATTGAAGTGTAGACTTTCAGCTTTATTTAAGAGTTTCCACAAAAATATGGCATTTACCATTTAGGAATTACAGGCATTTTAAGCAAAGTACTTCCATTTTCAGGGGCTCAAAGGTATTTGGACAATTAACTGACAAGAAGTTAATTGATCAAGTGCGGTCCATTCCCTCATTACTTCAAGACAAATGAAGCAGATAAAAGGTCTGGAGTTGATATCAGGTATTGAGTTGGCATTTGGCAGCTGTTCGACTGGAGCTACCAATATGAAGTCCAAGGAGATCTCAATGCAAGTGAAGGAGGCCATCATTAGGATGAAAAAACAAAAGATACCTATCAGAGAGATAGAAAAAACTTTAAGAGTGGCCAAATTAACAATTTGAAAAAAATAAATTAATTAATTTTTTAAAAAAAGGGGCAGTCGTGGCCTAATGGTTAGACCTAATGGCTAGACCTCTCTAACCTAATGGTTAGAGAGTCGGACTTGTAACCCTAAGGTGAACCTGAAGGTCGTGGGTTCGAGTCTCAGGTCTGGTAGGGATTGTAGGTGGGGGAGTGAATGACCAGTGCTCTCTTCCATACCACTCAATACCACGACTGAGGTGAGACCCTTGAGCAAGGCACCGAACCCCCACTGCTCCCCGGGCACTGCAGCAAAAAAGGCTGCCCACTGCTCCGGGTGTGTGTGTGTTCACTACTGTGAGTGCACTTGGAGGGGTTAAATGCAGAGCACCAATTCCGAGTATGGGTCACCATACTGGTGAGCTCAGCAGCACCAAAAGACCTGGAAGACCACAGAAGACAACTAAATCCTTTCCTGCAGAATCCTTTCCTTGGTGAAGAAAAACCCCTTCACAACATCAACAGAAGTCAAGAATACTCTGGAGAAGATAGGCATATTGTCAAAATCTACAATCAAGAGATGCCTTCATGAATGTAAATACAGAGGGTATACAACAAGGTGCAAACCACTGGTAACATTCAAGAACAGGAAAGCCAGATTAGACTTTGCCAGAAAACATCTAAAAAAGCCATGTTCCATGTTCTGGAATAAGATTCTTTGGACTGATGAAACCAAGATTAACTTGTACCAGAATGAAGAAGTGAATGAAGTACCAGGTGAAAGAAAGGAACAGCTCATGATCCAAAGTATACCACATCATGTGTCAAATATGGTGGAGGCAGTGTTATGGCATGGGCATGTATGGCTGCCAATGGAACGGGCTCACTGGTGTTTATTGATGATGGGACTGCTGACAGAAGTAGAAAGATGAATTCTGAGGTGTATAGGACTATACTCTTTGCTCACATTCAGCCAAATGCTAGAAAACTGATAGGACGCCACTTCACAGTGCAGGTGGATAATGACCCTAACATACTGCAAAAGCAACTTAAGACTTTTTGAAGGCAAAGAATAATAATAATAAGGATAATAAGAATAATAATAAGTAGAATATTCTTCAATGGCCAAGTCAGTCTCCTGATCTCAACCCAACAGAGCATGCTTTTCACTTACTGAAGACAAGACTGAAGGCAGAAAGACCCACAAACAAGCAGCAACTGAAGGTGGCTGCAGTGAAGACCCGGTAAAGCATCTCCAGGGAGGAAACTCAGTGGAAACTTGGTGATGTCCATGGGCTCCAGACTTCAGGCAGTCATTGAGGGCAAAGGATTTTCATCCAAGTATTAAAATTATGGTTATATATACGATTATGTCAAAGTGACATAATCGTATATACACCTTTGAGCCCCTCAAAATGGAAGTACTTTGCTTAAAATGGCTGTAATTCCTAAATGGTAAATGCGATATTTTTGTGGAACCTCTTAAAATAAAGCTGAAAGTCTACACTTTTTTCTACACTTACATGTTTTATTTCAAATCCATTGTGTTGGTGTATAAAGGCAAAATCACAAAAACTCTGTCATTGTCCAAATCCACAAATTGAATTATATATGAATAACAAACATAACATTTCTTATTACAATGAAAATTTTCCTCACAAAATTATGACCAATGCCAGACCATTGCGGGGTAAAATATAGCTCTTCTGTATAGGAATGCACTACAGAATGTAGCATGACTATTGTCATGTCAGTGCTGGATTCAGTGCCTCAAGTTCCCAGAATGTGTCCCGGTCTACATACATGGCCACCACAAACCACAGTTCCCAGTCTGCTTTGCAGCCTAAAAACATGGCTGCCATGGACCACATTTGACCACGTTTTTGTCTTGTGTTTTTGGAATTGTTTGCCAGTCAAAATAAAGCATTTTGTGTTGCACCTGCAGCCATCTCTGCCACCTGACAGAATACTTCGCCATCTGCATGGATACAGCAGGCTTTAGCGTCTTTAGCAGCTGCTTTGTTGGAGAGCAGCAGTAGCAGCTGCTAAACACCAAGTTTGCTCAGCTAAGCACCGTGCTGACGCCACAACTAACTGCACCAGTGGCACACTCTCACTCTGCTTCTCTGCTCATCGCCCACCTGAACAAGTACTCTGGTGAGCCTGTGGTGTGTAAGGGGTTCATGCTACAGTGCTCTCTTTATTTATCAAGTTAAGGATTTTTCTCTGAGAGAACAAAGATTATGCAGGTCATCAACTTGCTTACATGACTTCCTACAACCCTTCCTCGATCTTTTCCAGTGGATGTTTGATCACCCTCCAGAGGGTAAAAAAGGTGGAGAGTGACTCCTGTCCCTGAAGCAGGGGAACCAGAGCACCACAGAGTTTGCACTAACTTTCAGAACTCTAGTCACTGGCAGCAACTTGAACGAGCCAGCATTTAAAGTGGCTTACCAAGTGCTATTGGACACTTGAACAAGGCCCATAACCACATCTGCTAAGGGGCACCATATCATGGCCGACTCTGCGCTCTGACCCCAGCTTCCTAGCAAGCTGGCATATGCGAAAAAACTGCATTTCATTGGCCCTGTACTTGTACTCTGCACAATGACAATAAAGTTGAATCTTAATTCTTAATCTTAATTTCCCTGAATGCACACCCATAATCCTCAGATCTCCTGAGGCTGAGAGAGAAATCACTCACAGGTCCACACATTGTCTTACACACTGCCTTTTGGTCCCTAACCTATTGGTCACTTACACTTCAGTTGAAAACCCTGTTCCATGGAGGTTCCATGGTCACCTGAATATCAGGATTTCAAGGAAGTGTTTAGTAAGGCCAAGGCCAGTGGCCTGTACCCACACTGACCATGGCAGGCACCAAACACCCTCTCTGCCACAGAAAGCCAGGCTATGGAGGAGCTATTAATGAAGCACTGAAACAAGGATAGTTTCCTTTGACTTCATTTGCCTTAGTGGGCTGGCCTTCGACCTTGTATTGATTACCGGGGGGCTAAATCAGATCACAGTAAAATAACATTACCCATTATCTCTGGTTCCCTCAACACTGGAACAACTCCTCAATGCCAAGAATTTCACTAAGCTGGACCAAGCAGTGCTTGCACCCTTATGAGGGGACAAGAGGAAAACAACCTTTAGCACCAACTATGGCCACTTTTAGTACTGCATAATACCATATGGGCTCTCTTGAGCTCCTGCAGTGTTTTTGTAATTAAATTTAGTAATTGCCAACAAAGATGGCATTCTGATTTATTCACCATACAAAGAATTTCATGTAACCCAAGTCAACCCAAGACTCAGCTCCTAGAAAACCAGCTTTTCATGAAAGGAGAGAAGTGTGAATTTCATGTTTCCAAATTCTTGTTTCTGAGATATATTATTAGCCCTGAGGGGGTGCTCATGGACCAAATTAAAGTTAGGCTGTCAAAGACTGGCCTGTGCCCATCACAGTAGCTGCAGACATTTTTGGCATTTGCAGATTTTTACAGAAGTTTTATCTGAGGCTTCAGCTCCGTTGCACCTTCTTTCATCTTTCTCTCAAGAAAGGATCCAAGAAACTGCAATGGAATTCAGTCACTGACTATGAATTCGTGCAGTTGAAAGTAGCATTTACCACGTTCCCATCCAAGCCCTCCAAACCTTTTATAGTTGAGATGGATGCATCTGAGACAGGAGTGGGGACTGTACTGTCCTCACCCAAGCTTCATCCTGTGGCATTCTTCCAGTGTACCCTCACATGCCACCCAGGGGGTAAGAACACAAAAGCAGTGTCTCTCTCTCTCTCTCTCTTATGTCTGTATTATGTGCCTCCCAAAGAAACAGCCAAGGATTTCCTCCTTCCACAGTCACGTTTTGTAGGAGCTCCGATCTGGGAAATAGACCAAGAGATTGCTGACACCCCAGCACAACTGGTGCCATTCTGTGCACTCTGTGGACACCCAGGCACCCACAAAACCCACCAGCTCCTACAATATAAGTACACCAAGCAACATGATTTCCGACATATATAAGTTTATAAGTTTCTCCTCTCGCACTTCCTTCACCCAAGCTAAAGTTCCCAGAACCTTACCTACTGGTAAATTGGTCCCATTGCACATGCAACAAAGACCATGGTCTCACATTGTCATTGATTTTAACACAGATCTTCCCATGTCCCAGGGTAACACAATCATCATGGTTGTCACTGATTGCTTTTCTAAGGCCATGCTCCTTGTCCCTGTCCCTGGCCTACCCTCTGCATTTGAGACAGCCAAGCTGATCTTTAAACTCATATTCAGGTATTTTTGTATTCCAGAGTACATTGTGAGCAATAGTGGTACTCAATTCATGTCTCAGAAGTCAGGGAGCTTCATGGAAAAGCTTGGCATATTAGTCAGTCTGACTTCTGGTTATAACTCCCAAGCTGAAGGCCAAGTGGCAAGGGCGAACCAAGAAATCATCTGCTACTTGAGGACATTCTGTGCCAATAACCAAGTATACTCAGAATTCCCTCTGTCACTCTGCTACCCAGCTTACCCCATTCCAATGTGTGCCCTGTTACCAACCTCCCTTATTCCCCTGGGATGCCAACCCCACTGACTGACCCACTGTAGATAAGTAGTTCAGTTAAGGTGAAACCCCCCAATATGAGCCCGGAGATCAAGTGTGGCTCTTGATGAAAGACATTCGTGTCACCCATAGTTGCAGAAAACTGACACATTGATACATCTGCTTCTTCATCACCTCCAGCACCCCTTGACATTGAAGGTCAGCCTGCCTACATTGTCACAGAAATCCTCAGCTCCCGCTGAAATGAAGGAAATCCTCAGTATCTCATTGAATGGGAGGGTTACAGCCAAACAGAGAGGTCCTGGGTACCAGCACAAGATGTTCTAGACCCACTCCTCTGTCAAGAATTTAATGCACATCACCCTGACTTGGTGCCTCGCTACAACTCTCAGAATGCGTTGCAGTCTACAACCTAATCTGCTTTCGAAGCCAACAGACATGGCCGTCATGCACTACAAAGCTTGCCACACACGAACTGTGTCACGTTCATAGTCACCATCTTACTCATCAGTCACACCTATATTCAATCACTTTCACACTCTACATATACACACTTCAAACTTGCGCTCTTATGGGGAGGGATCACTACAAAGGTGGAAAAAGTACCAAGCTAGGCCCACTATCCA